TTATGGCGTTCGCGTTGTTTGTTGGTGTGATTCGTCGTGGAAGACCCCCAACACCGGCCTGTTATCCGATGAGCGTATCGACCGACCGACTGACTTTCCCCGATCGTTCTCCCGTTGTGTGCTCGTCACCAACAAATACGAACGACGGCCGCGATAATGGCGACTGGAATCTCCGCAACTGCAACCGTGCCCTTCCACGAAAACGATGACGATGACGCCAACGACAACAACGACGAACGGTAACAACCAACCAACAGCAACTCGCGACCTTCCAAGCGAACCCGCAGTTCGGCCTGTACCTCTCGCATATGATGGCCTACCCGTCGGCACAGGTGTGGTGCAAGCTACTGCTGTAGTAGTGCAAACGCACGTAGAGGTTGTAGTCTTGGGGGGAATCGCAGTACACATGGCGCGGAAGGCAGAAGGCCCCCAAGTTGGTGTCTTCAGACGCGAAGACACGTGCACGCATCGAGGTACTGCTGCAGCGCAACACAAGCATGTATTCTAACCTCTCAAGTTTTCACGTTAGTTCCGCCTCGAGCACCGCCTAGGACTGTAGCTTACGCGTTGTGGGTGGCTCCCTTCCGTCGGCGCGACCAAACGTGATACAATCGCCTCGTCTTTTTGGGCACGCGAACGGTGTCTTGCCTGCCTGCTTTCGCGGCGGCCGATCGTCCTGCAGGTGGACGAGAGGTTGAGACAGCTCGCGGGGCTGGTGCTCAAGAACCTCGTCAAGACCACGTTTAAGGTGGGCTGGCTGCTGGCTGCTGCTGCCAGCGCTGCGCTGCGAGCGGTGTTGGTAGTTTGTTGGTGCTCGCTCGCTCGCTCCGTCCCTCGCGTAGTCTATTTTGTTGTCGTTGTTTCTGCTGCTGCTGTTGCAACAACGACAGCAACACTACTAGTGTATGTGCTGCTGTAGTGACGAAGCAGTTGAGGCAGCAAGGACATATCCCGAAGAATACCGGGTCGGTCATATTTGATTTTCGAGAGGGCGAGTTTTGATCGACTCCTAGCGCTGTCACTTTGTCGGGTGTGCTCAACACCCTGTTCAGATGCCCCCGTTGTCTTTCTGCCACCGCTACCGCTGGTGCCTTGCTATTTAGTACCACTTTTACACCTGAACCAAATCGCCACACGCACACGCCCACGACTACACGCCTCCCGGTGCCTCCCTCCCATTCACGGAACCCCGCACAACAACAACAACAGCGCTTGGAGCCCCCGGCGCAAGCCATCATCCGCGAGAGGGTGCTGCTGGGCGCTAGGGATCCGTCGCAAGTTCTCAGGCACACGGCCGGGTCTGTGGTGACGACCGTCGTGAGCTCGACGCGGCTGGCGCAGTGGCCGGAGCTGCTCCCGGCGCTGGTGGGCATGCTGGAGAGCGGGGACCCGGGGCTGGGCGACGGCGCGTTAAACACCCTGGTTAAGGTGCGTGCGTTGTACTTACCGCCGTATAGGTGACGTAGGATACCACCCCCCCCCCACCCTCTGGACAAATTTGCCCCAAGGGTCGATTACTCCAGAGCAAGGAGGAGTGTTGGGTGGCGTCGTTGGAACCGGGTCGTCGAGAGGTTTTCGAAAGCTTGTCGTTTGTTTTGGGAGTACGTCGTTTTCGTCGTGGAGTACTCGAGCTTTGAAAATGGGTTAGGGGAGTGTGGTATCTTGCGTCATACCACCTACGGTTGGGTGTGTGTCTTATTGTTAGCATCGACTGCGCTATCAAGGCTGACCAACGAAAAGACGTCTTGTCTCAGTGCGGCTAAACACATAAAGATGCTGCTTTTATTGGCTACCATAATGTGGGGCCCCGTGAGGGGGCATCATGGAGGGGGGGGTGTTGTCTTTTCGGCGTGTGTATGCTCGGCGCGGTTTTAATTCATTATGTTTCGCTTTGATATTCACAGCTCCGTTACTCCACGACGGAGAGGATGTTCAACTCAAATGAGACGGTTCCGACGCCGCTCGCCACCCTTTCTGCTGTGGAGAAATTGAGGTTTGAAAATCATGTCCAGGGGGCGTGGTGTCTTACGTCAGCCACGGTAGAGGAGGAGCACATGACCCGCCTTAGTCCACGCCTCGATTTATGCACTATAATAGTCTTCGCGAAGATGTCAAGCTTGGTTTTAGTACAGGGGTTTCGGGTGAGGGTGTTGGGTAGGTAGGGGTTCCGGGTTACGAAGCCCCTCTCTATTTAATAATCTTTATGGACCGATATTCTCGCGAAGGCGATCCGATTTAAGGCACTATGCCGCTCGTCATTCCGACTATACCAATACACGACGCGACTTCGGCCGCGACAGATCTGCGAGGACTCGGCGAGAGAGCTGGAGTCGGAGGAACTGGGGAGGCCGCTGAACCAGCTGGTGCCGATGCTGCTGGCGCTCTTCTCGCACCCCAAGGACTCCTTCAGAGTGATGGCCCTGACGTGTGTCAACAGCCTCATCTCGCTCTCTCCCCAGGCGCTGCTGCTCAACATGGACGCCTACCTCGAGGTGGGATGGGATGGGATGGGGTGGTATAGGGCGGGATAGGACCGGATGGGACTGGACCGGATGAGATGAGATGGGACGGGATGGGATGGGATTGGATAGTGTACGGTGGGATAGGACGGGATGGGATAGGGTAGGGTATGTAGCGTGGGGTCGGGTGCGGCGGGAAGGGAAGGGAAGGGAATGGAAGGTAGAGTGGAGTGGAGTGGGTGGGTCGTGCAACAGTGTACATTCCAGTCGTTTGTAAACCAATGTAAACGTTTCTTAGAGGTGAGTGGGTGGTGGCGGTGGCGGTGGCGGAGGCAAGTGAGGCTGAGGTGAAGCGGGCATGGAAGGAGGAGGTAATTTTCCCCAGGGGCCGGCTATGGCCGTCGCGGTCTATGCATGACGCCACTCGGCAAGCATGAGATCTCAGCGGCGGCTCGGAAAGGTGGCTCCGCGTGGGGGAGGTGCCCTTGCAGGGGGGGGGGGTCGCGGGTCGGGAGGGGGGGCTCCCGACACACGGATAGTTCTACAGTTGTTGCTTGGCAGACTCGTGATTTCTAACGACACAGCATTATCCTTACCCGTGTTAATTTATTCGTTGCGCCAGACTGACGTTTCCGTTCGTTGTCTTTCTTTTGCTTCCATCTCTCTCTCTCTCTCTCTCTCTCTCTCTCTCTCTCTCTTTCTCCCCCCTTCCGTACATGTGTCTTGGCGTGCATTCAGGGCCTGTCAAAATTAGCTTCGGATCCGTGTGCGTCTGCGAGAAAAGGAGTTTGCGAGGCCATGGTCTTGCTCGTTGAGGTGAGAAGAAAAAGGAGTTGAAAATTAGATGCGGCCGAGAAAAAATGTGAGGAGTGGGGGGGGGGGAGAAGGTCGAGCAGGGAGAGAGAGATCGAAAAGCCAAAAGGCGTTCTATATCTGCGTCAAGAGAGTAACAACCTCGTGTTTACCATGCTTTTTGTCCTTTGCGAAAGGATGCATATAAGTACTAATAGTCTTTCTTGTTCCGCACGTTCGAGCTGTACTGCTACTGCTATTGCTGTGGTAATTTACTCTTAAGACGAACTCACGTTGTTCTGTGCACAATCGCCTTTTCGTGCCCAGTAGCCTTCGCAGGGTTTTCTTCTTCTGTAAACATGCTGGATAAAGCATACAATCGGGGAAGTTGAGTTAAGGGTTAGGGTTGGGGAATACGGTCTGCGTCCCCCCTCCCTGTTCTATTTCCCCATTAACTTATTGATGGCGTGAAGGGGGTCCTTCTTCGCGGCCTCTACTAATGCTTGTCGTACGCTTCAGACGAATTTTGGGCTTAAGTGCAAAAGTCCTTTTCTTCCGGGCCTCTACTAATGCTTGTCGTACTCTTCAAGACGATTTTTAGGCTGATGGGCAAGAGCCCTTTTCTTCGCGGCCTCTACTAGTGCTTGTCGTACTCTTTGAGACGAATTCTTGGGCTGATGTGCGAGAGCCCTTTTCTTCGCGGCCTCTACTGGGACGTGGTATGTCTTAAGACTTCTCCCTCTCGGCAATGTGGCGAAAAACTCATACGCTGCCAGCTGTCTTACCGAACATTTGTTTCGCTGTTTGGTCACACGGACGGCAGGTTAATGTGGAGATTCTCCTGCCCCGCATGCAGGGCATCTGCGAGTTTATGCTAGCGGCACAACAAGATCCGGATCCTGAGGTGTGGGTGAATTGTTTATCTGTGTTTGTATTGGGCTTTTTTTCTTCTTGTTGTTTTCCTGTGCAAAAGCCCTGTCTAAAAACTACAAATTTCAACCAATTTCAATAAATGTGACACACCCCCCATGCAATTTTTGAGTGCACCCCGTGTTTGGTACAGCAGGTTAGCTCCGTTTGCCCGAAGAAGTGCTTCAGTTTCAAAATTGTTGGGGGTAAGCAAGTGATGTGCACGATCTTCGAGAAATAAGCATTTACAAAAACAGAACGACGAATTCCTCCATCCACGGACAAAAAACAGAAAAAAAAGCTCACGATAAAATAAACACATGAGTCCTAAATAGTAATACATAAGTCGTCAGCTTTTACAACTGGTGTCGGTGTGTTTGGACGCCGCAGCCAGCGTCGCACGGGAGAAAGGAAGGCTCGGCAGGATTTTTTTTCTCTTGTTTTTTATTCTTCTCTCCGTCCTCCCTTCTGCGATGGTTGACCTAATCTTAATCCCGAGAAAAGATTCAGTCCTTAGTCCTTAGTCGACGATCGGCAAGTAGAGTTTTGCTAACGAACCGATTGGGCCCGACGACATCACTGGTACAGAATATTACAATTGTAACACTGGAAATGTGCTCGTGCCTCTCCCATGGGTTGTGGCATTGGGGAAAACTAGTTGCGTGCCTTCCAACCGACAGTCGCTGGGGGCTCAGCAGGTTGCGCCTGGTACCCTTAATTTGGACATGTACATCTATTGCATAACACAGCAAACGTAAACCACAGCCAAGTTGACCAACAGAGTTGTGGGCAGTCATACTTCAGATAGCCACCCTTCCCATGGTCTTCACCGAAAGAGTTGGGGGTGTAGCTCAGGGGTAGAGTGTTCGCTTCGCATGCGAAATGTCTAGGGTTCAAATCCCTACTCCTCCACTTTTTTTTCCCGTTTTCCTTTTTTTTCTTCCGCCATTTTTTTTCCTGTTTTGCTGGCGCGCACAGCCCTGTCGTGTCACTCAAGGCATGGCAAGCAGAGCGAGATCGTGCCGCCTATCATCTTATAGAACGTTTTTTTAGAAAATTCTCTTCTCATTCGCTCGAATAATGACATACCACGTGAAGAGCAACAGTGACATCTTCCGCTTTCTGGTTTCTGGTGTGAACGCGTTCGTACCAATGCCGATACATTATTCAAGAAGTTTTTGTTTGTTTGCATCCCTCTGTTCCCACACTAAAACTATATGGTAGTATTGAAGGATAGAATACCACCATAGCGCTCCGCTGCGGATGCATAGATTTCTCAAGTTCAACAGGTTGTACAAAAGAAGAAAAAGAAACTGTGTGAAGGCAGTTGGATCTCAGTGCATATACTGCTGTACTGCTTGTACCGCTGTTTTTTTTTTTTTGCGGTCATCTATAATGTGGACACGTACTGCTGTATGATGTAGGTCTCCACCGAGGCTGGCGAGTTCTGGATGGCGGTTTGCGACAGAGGGGAAGGCTTGGAGGTGCTCATCAATATGCTACCAAGGTGGGTTGCACTAGTCTTGGTGGTTGGGCTTATCGGCTGGTGGATTCGGATCAAGGAGGTTGGATGGGTAGTGATGTGCTGATCAACGTCCTGTGCCGCCCGCGAGCACTGCGGCTTGGTAATATGAATTTGATTCGCGAGCGGAGGCTTGGAAATGCTGGTCGTCATGCTGACGACGTTACCATAGACAGGTTGCATAAGGTACGTACCAGAGCAGACAGGAGGGCGTTTTTTTTACCGACGAAGGTGGCGTTGGAAGCATCTCGTCGAGAGCTACATATGCATTTATTCTCTTCATCGTGGAGGAGTCGAACTTTGAAAATCCGTCTAGGGGAAGCAATACCTTTTGTCGCCTACAGCAGTAGATGCAGCAGTCACATTCTCGGTTTTGAGGATTACTGTAAGGGTTAGGAGAAAGCGGGCGCGGAAGTTCCGACCAACTTGCCGCCTATGAAGGTTGCTCTAAGGCTAGGGGATACGACTCGGGAGGGAAGAGGGTGTCGAGGATTGATGTGCGTCTTTTGGCGGGAGGGTAAAAGAAGGGTTGAAGCACCGCTGAAAGTGCCACCGTTGTGAGGCGGTCGAGTGCGAGCGGCCGCAGGTCGGAGGCAAAGAGGGACGCAGACAACCCACGCGGGTCGTAAATTCCGCACAACGGGTGTTCACGCTCAAGAGAACTCGTCGATCGACCAGTCGTTGTTGTGCTTTGAGCCGGATCACCCGCAGATCAGTAAATTATGAAGCACAAATGTTCTTTTTGTTACATCCGATTTTTTTTTTTGTGTGTCCGACAATGTGGATGGAAATTCCAAAAACAGGTTAATTCCGGTGCTGGTGGCATGCACAGTATACTCGGCGGACCAGATCGCGGAGTTCGAGTCGCTACCTGCGGTGGACGAGCACATCCCGGACGCTCCCGAGGACATTCGGCCGATGTTCCACCGCGCCAAGAGCGGAGGTGAGATGATACCGTTGCCTGATGCTAGATGGCATGGTTGTTATTTTTCTTGTTCTTGTTTCTTGTTTCTTGTTTCTTGTTTCTTGTTTCTTGTTTCTTGTTTCTTGTTTCTTGTTTCTTGTTCTTGTTCTTGTTTCCTGTTCTTGTTCTTGTTCTTGTTTCTTGTTCATGTGTTCTTGTTCTTGTTCTTGTTTCTTGTTCTTGCCTTCACACCAATAACGATTTCGATGTCTCTACCTAGTACCTCTATCATGGTAGATTCGCCCTTTTTTTTGTAGAGGCAGGCGACGAGAGGGATGTCTGTCCACGTGTTCACGGGACGGTAAGCCAGCTCTTGCCTAGCCGAGAACCTCGAGCCCGCGGCGGCGGCGGGGGGGGGAAAGAGCATTCCTCGCTGCTGACTGTACTGGGTAGAGACGCGAAAATCGTTTGAAGACGTGAAGACAACAAATGCGACAAGGGTAGCAGCTGCAGAAGCGGCAGAAGCGGCAGCAGTAATCCCGCCACATATATCCCGTGTTTTGTTAACGTCGACCGCGCAAACCGACTGATCGATGGAGAAACGTCAGTCTCAGCGCGGTTGAGAATAGTAGAGAATGCTTATACAAGTAAAGGCGATGGTTCTTTGAAGCAACACAGACCGTGCTAGCCGGCTGACGATGTATGTATGCGTGTGCGTTTACGTGCTAAACGTGCTTCGAAAAAAGGTGGTGGAGGTGGCGGCGGACTTGACGAGGACGACGACGATGACGGGAGCGATGCGGACGGGGTGGCGGAATGGCACCTGAGAAAATGCGCCGCCGCCGCCCTGGACAGCCTGTCCACCTCCTTCGGCCCCGACCGCGTACTGCCTGCCCTGCTACCGGCGTTAGAGGTGCGGGCGGTCTTAGTTGTTCATGGTGTTGCTGGTGGTGGATGTATTTGGTGTCGCCGAGCGAGAACCTGTGGTGGATGCCGGCAGGGAGGGAGGGTGATGATAATCGCCGTCTTGATCCTCACCCAACGCTCGTGGGAGTGGTTCATTGCTCTCCACCACGGTATTTCTTCCCGCGGTGCTTGCCTGTAAGTTTTAATCGCGAGCGAAGGGCTCGGCATTCCTTTCGTTCCTTGTTTGTTTGTTTGCTCGAGACTACGTTGTATTGTTGGTGTTTGTGTTATCATATGTGGTTCTTGATGTTGTTGCTGCGGAGAGACCGGTGTCTTTTTGGTGCAGCTACAGACGTGATGTTGTGCGTCGGCCGTATGAGGCTTACGATTGACCACAACCTTATGGTCACCTCATCGTTGGCTGGGCTGAGTCGTCGAGAGTTCACGTTAATCGCGTTCCACATTTTGAATGGAACAGTAAGTTTCGTGGGACGGGCTTCTGCGGCGAAAGATAACGGGTGTGGGCTGATCGAGCAAGGACATGCCGATCATGGCGTCGGTGTGTTGCTTTGGAGTAGCTCGCTTTTTCTTGGTTGACTTTTTTCGATGGTGCAGGTTGAGTCGACGCTTCTGCGGATCAGGCTGCGTCTAACCGGACTCAAGTGTCTCAACTTGTCTCAAGCCTTGCCTTTGTCTAGACTCAAGCCTTACCTGGAACTGGTCTCGAGTCGGTGGTAGGATCGAAACCAACCAGGGTTGGAGTCGCTGCTCCGGATGTGTTAGAACGGCTGGACATATAGCTTGAGTTGGTCGATCAAAGAAAATCCTTCGAAAATACTTCACCCACATGTTTGGTTGGTGTTGAGTCGCTTGCAGTGTCGCTTGTTGTTCACTTTTTTTTTTTTCTTTTTTTTTTTTTGCCGTCTTTGTGATATCGAGTCGAATCCAAAAGCTTGACGATCTGTATGAATGGACACCACGCAGTCACAGAAGTCGACTTCGCTATCGCTGGTTTTTTTTTTGCTTTTTCGTCTAAGTTACATCAAATCTAGCGAGCTTGACGATGTATTGATCACACGAATGATGAACAACACACGCGGAAATGTTAAACAGGAGAGACTCGCGAGTGCGGACGTGTGGCAGCGAGAGAGCGCCATGCTTTCCCTTGGGGCGGCGTCGGAGGGATGCCTGGAGGGGCTGGGCCCGCACCTCCCCGCCCTATTCAGCTTCCTCATCCAGCAGCAGAAGGCGGAGACCCCGCAGCTCAGAAGCATCGCGTGCTGGGTCCTGGGGAGGTTCATGAGGTGTGTTGTTATGAAATGTGTTACGTGGGTGTAGCTCTTTGCTTCCACGTTTGTGTGGCTCATTCGTGTGCGCTGTACTTGGCACCGCTTTATTGCATCAACCGAGCAAAAGAGGCTGACCGATGGAAGAAAGCTTTCGATTTTGCGGGGGCCCCCTCGCCAGCAATGTGTGGATTGCGACTGACCGTTGTGGACCGGAAAATGGGCACAACAGCAGTGCTTTTGTTTATTGTAGGACCGCTGTTGTACCTATCTTTGTGTGTTTTTTTGGTGTGTGTGCTGATTAACGCAGCCTCGAGCAGTCGCCGAAGTGTGAAAATTTGACCCACCTTTGATTTTCGTACAAATATATATATATATTTTTTTAGTTATTGCTAACCCGATCGCGGAACTCTTTGCGTGCTGTATTAATAAAACAAAATCATTAAAAAAAACACAGGTGGATCGTCGGGCAGGAGTCGGAGGAGCACTACCTCGTCCCTGTCCTGAGGGGGCTCATCGAACGGCTGCTCGACAGCAACAAAAAGGTGTGTACATGCCTGATACACGGCAGCACCATACATGCGTATTCTCTCGCGCATCAAGCGTGAGCGAGCGGCCTGTTCTTGTTGTTCCTTTTCGCTCGCACACCTCCACTAAGCCCTCTCGCGGCTGCGAATTGATTGGACGTATTGTACGTACGTACGAGACAGTCGGCACCTGGGTCGGTTCAGCCGCAACTGAGTTTGGGTTTAGGTTGTGACTGCGGGAAGAAAGAAGAACAAGAACAAGAACAAGAAGAAGCCCCTTCTTGTTCTGAGCTGGATTACGGTAGTACGGAGGAAAATATGCTGGAAAAAGGTCGCAAATGTTTTTGTGTGTGATAACTACAACATCAACGGCAATGACGACGGCGACGACGACGACGACACCGCAGGTGCAAGAGGCAGCGTGCTCCGCGTTGTCGGTGATGGAGGAAGAGGTTGGCTACGGCTTGCAGGTCTACCTTGATCCCATCGTCAGGTAGGTGCCGTGACAAAATCCCGCACGCGCGAGTACTGCTGTACATACCCTCGGACGGATGGTGTGATGTTGGCGGTAACCCCTCCACGTCTCCTTTGTCTTGAGCATTTTATTGCCCACCTTATGGATGGATTTTCGACGCGGCCTGTTCGACCACTGTTGTGAACCGTGTGGCATCGCCAAGCGATTAGTTGTGTCGCGTTTTTTTTGTGCGCGTTTTCTTTCTGTCCTTTCTCTTTCCGTCTGTCTCTGTGTCTGTCTGTCTCTCTTTCTC